CTGCGCCAACCGCACTGCCTCTGACACACCCATCCCGATTACCCCAGTCACCGAATCAATCCATCTCATAGAGGGTCTTCCCCTCCAGAAATATTGGGTAGTGAAAATTATATGAACACCATCTTAGAACTAGTGTCTCTCTCTCTCTCACACACACACACACACACACCATGACACCTTAAGAGACACTCCTAAAAAAAAAAAAAGAGACACTCCTGAGTTACTGTTCACTGTCATGTAAATAATATTCACCTCACATACCTTCCCTGGCTGTTGCACTGACGTTCAATGCCTTGGAATTCACAGATTTCTCCTGATAAAAAGGACCAGGAACCATTCTTCATGGATGATATTTGTCCTTTATTATCCTGTTTAAAAACTAACCCAATAATTTTAAGTGGAGATGCACATGATAAAAGAGTAAAGGAATTTTATGAGGAGTAAGAAAGAAGGATTGACTTTGAGGTATTTGGATGTTATAGGACTTCAGAAGTCATTCAATGGGTAAGAAATAATTCTAACAATTGCGAATGTTAAGTGATATGAATGACACCAAACACAATGTTGTTGAATTGATTCTGACTCATGGTGATTCTCATCTTTCTCTTATGGAGAGTATAGTGGATTCAAACCAGCAACCTTTCAGTTGGCAGTCCAAAGGTTAGTCCACTATAGTACTAGGCTCTAATTTATTCACTTAGTTAAACATCCTTACCTGAGCCTAGGTGCTTGAAGGTTTCTATCATCACATCTCTGTAGAGTTTCCTCTGAGAATAATCCAGCAAAGCCCATTCTTCCTGGGTAAATATCACAACCACATCCTCAACGACCACTGAGTCCTAAAACACATATTCTGGATCAGCAAATTAGCAAGTACACAAACTTGTGCAAAGAGGTGGGTGAGGCTGAGGGTGTGGAGGAACTAAGTAATTCACAGGGCAGTCACTCAGGTTCTGTGCTCTACTTTGGATCATCAGCATCATCCTTTCACTGACTTCATTGGCCTCCCAACTGCCAGCATCTCATATCATAGATTTAACAATATTTGTAACACACTGAACTTCTCTCTCAATAGTGTGACTCTGACTTATCCAGTTTTATTCCTCTTTATACTTAAGTCCAGAATAGGCAGAACACATAGTAAAGGGAAGGAAATGCTCTATGAATAACAAACCTATTTCCATATTCTGATAAATTCCTGCAGAAAAAGTAAATTCCCCTTTTCCCATAGGGCCCATCATAACACACAACAAATCATGAAGCAAAAGGAGGAGAAGAAGCTATTAATACCTGGTAAAGACTCAAGGATTGGCAGCTTTCCCCACTGACAGAACAGACAAAGCAAGCATTTGAACCAGACTCAAATATATGATTTCAGAGTTAGCAAACCAGGAACTTAATCTCAACATTAACAAAACAAAAACTCACTATTGGGCCAAAAGTACATCATCATAGATGGAGAAAAGCTTTAGGTTGTCAATGACTTAGTTTTACTTGGATCCACAATCAACACCCATGGAAACAGCAGTCGAGAAATCAAAAGACATTGCATTGGGAAAATCTGCTCTCAAGGATCTCTCCAAAGTGCTAAAGACAATGTTAATGTCAAAACTAAAATATGTCTGATCCAAGTCATAATATTTTCCATGACTACGTATTCAAATGAAAGTTGGACAATAAATAAGGAAGACCAAAGAAGAACTGATGCCTTTGAACTATGATGCTGGTGAAGAGTACCTAACATCTCACAGACTGTCAAAAGAACAAACAAGTTTATCTTGGAAGAAGTGCAGAAGTTGCTCTTTGGAGGGAAGAATCCTGAAACTTCATGTGACATGCTGTGGGCATGCTATTCCAAGGAGGGACCAATCCTTGGGAAAAGTAAAGGAATCATATGGACTAACAACACAGTGAGTGCAACAATGGGCTTTAGCATGTCAGAGAGCATGAGGATGGCACAGGATAAGGCAAGGTTTCAGTCTGTTGTTCAAAGACATTATGAGTCACTGTTGACTTAATGGCACCTGAAAACAACAAGATTCATACAAAAATGCCTCTCAGTGAAAATAAAGACCAGACACAAAGGAAGATGGATCATGTAAAGAGAAAAAGAGAAACACTATGATGCCTGAAAATGTTATGACATTAGTAACAGATCCCAAACCTCAAAACCAGAAGTTCAGAGAACACCAAACAGGCTATGCAGGCCTACAAAGATAATATTTAAACTGAAGAAAATAAAATACAGAATATTTAGACTGAAGATTAGTACAAAAACAAAAAGAATTTGAGTAAGCTATGCAGGCCAGAAAAGATAATATTTAAACTGCAGAAAATCAAACATAGAATATTTAGGACAGAATATTTAGACTGAAGATTAGTAAAAAACAAAAAGAATTTGAGTAATAGTATAAAACAATTTAAACTGATGTCAATTTCAAGACTTAAGGTACCTGAAATATTTCACTCAGCATAATGTCATCCAGGGTCACCGATTTTTAATAATATTTCATGAGTTCCTTGTTTTTCAATGCAGCGTAGTATTCCATTGTGTGAATATACCACAGCTTCTCTATCCATTCGTTTGTTGATGGGCATTTGGGTTGTTTGCAGCTCTTTGCTATTGTGAACAAAGCTGCGATAAACATGGGTGTGCATGCATCTGCTTGGGTGGCAGTTATGTTTTCTTTGGGGTATATTATGCTGAGTGAAATATCTCAAGTCACAAAAGGGCAAATACTGCATAGTGCCACAGCTGTAAAATGGGACTGACATCGGGGGGCGGGGGGAGACTGAGAAAGATGGGATAAATAATGTATACTGCATTGAAAGAGATGAGGGAGAAAACTGTTTAAAAGGGATATGTGATTAGGTTTTATTGTCATGACAGGAGTCCAGAATGAAGGTTTTATTGTCGTGACAGGAGTCCAGAATGAAGGCTG